GCCAGGGAAGGAGGGACAATCTCCTCCTGTACCAGTCAGATCTGATTTGACGGTACACGCACACAAAAATAATAAAATAAAAATTTAAAAAAGAAAAAAAAAAGGAAGGTGCAGAGTTGTTTTTGCTCTAATTCTGGTCTCTTCCCCCGTTGACGGGCAGGAAACGGACCTGCTTCCTTGAACGAGGGGCCGAGTCTCTTCCCGGAGCCGGAGCCGGACCCTGGGCATCTGGCTCTCCAGCTGCCGCTCCACCCACCGCCCACAGGAATCAGTTAAAACTAGGACACCGCGTGATGCTGCAATTACCCTGCTCAAGTTGTTTCCCTGCTAGAATGATGGTATTAGTTCTGCCATGAGTTGCCAGCCACGGGAGCAGGAATGAGAAGGGACAGGGTTATCTCCAGGCGGAAAGCTTTATAAATCAGCTTCTCGATGGTGGTGGGGCGCTCAAAAAACCACAGCCTCCTAGGGATGCGGACTCGCCGCCACTCGAAACTTTCTTAAAAAAACCCCACAAAATTCACATTTTATTCAGATTGAAATGAACTGTACAAAATTTATTTTCTTCACCCAAAATAACAGTAATAATTTCTCTATTCTTTCTAGATAAACCACAAAACACTTATTTTTGTAGACTTCCCAGGTTTTGCTTATAAATCAAGATGAGGCAGTAGATATAATCATGAAAAAGACAGAAGTTATCAGCTGTTAGTGTCCATGGCCTTACAGTGTATTTAGACCATGGAACAGAAATGTTCACTATACACCTGCCAAAAGGTTTATGCAGGTGTAGGCTCCACAAAGGAATGTAAACAGCAGCAACCCGACCTATAACAACTAGAGTAAGTTCTTCCATTCACACTTTAACTGTAATTTGTTCTTTTAGGTTCATATGATAAAGACAATCTACCCTGAAATCTATATTTGGCAAGCTCATACAAACTTTCTAAACACAAAATCGTTCCCTACAGCGTCTCCTTCTTCCCCCCACCCCCACAGTCAAAACTTGACATGATGATGTTAAAAATGTCTAAACTATTGACCTTCATTCATTGGCCTTATTAACTCTCCAGTCGTCCAGGAAAATGGCTCATGAAGCCTCATGACATCATTGTTGGCCATACAATAACACTTGTTTCCATCTTACAACCATTGTTGTTGTTTTTAGGTGCCATTGAGTCGAGTACAACTCACAGCAACCCTATGAACAAAAGATCTGAACCTAGTCCTGTGCTGAACCACCCTCAACACTCCCTGACACACAAGAGCTCATGGCAATCACCTTGTCAATCCACCTGGTTGAAGGTCTTCCTCACCTTCGCCAACCCTCCACCCTTCCGAGCATCATGTCCTTCTCCAAGGAATAGCACCTCCTGGTAACATGTCCAAAGTATGTGAGGTGAAGCCTCATCATTCTTGCCTCCAAAGACCATTCTGGCTGCACCCTCTCTAAGACATATCTGTTTGTTCTCTTGGCCATTCATGGGATACTACCATAGACCATTTTATATAATTTAATAGTCCACTCAGACTGTCATCAAGAGCTGGTATTAGAAGAAATCTGGTAAATTACGGATCCTTTTCAAAGTAGGAGTTCAGTGTCATTAACTTTAGGCATCTTTCATTGCTGTTAAGTTGGAACTGACTCATAGCTGACCCTCCAGCAGGTTTTCAGAGGTAATACTTAAAGAGAAGAGATTGTCCATCTCTCTCCCAGAGAGCAGCTGGTGGATCTGAACCACCTCCCTTTGGGTTGGCAGTGCAACTCCTTACCCACTAGGCCACCAGAGCTCCTTTAGTTCTCAAGATAAGAGGCTAAAAATTGGGTCAGGCAATTGATGGGCAAGCTACATCGTCTTGATTAAGGAAAAAAAAATGAGAAAAGAACAAAAGCTGTCTTTTTTCCACTAAGGGTCTTTCTCACCTGCCCATTCATAACTTGAATCTATTTACATGCCAGCATCTGTGAGGTTTATGATGAGGTTGGCCTGAAGGATTTGGTCCTTGTTCTTGGCTTCTGAGACATAACCTCTAACTAAAGCTTTGTCATTTCCCCTGTGATTGGAGTCCTTGTTGTCTGTGTGTGCTCCAGACCATACCGAATGTTAATGCCAACCAATCAATCATGCCTGTATAATAGACCTCAGCACACACTGGACACAAGTGTGGGAGCTTCCTGGTTGGTGAAAGACATTGGGAATTGGCAGGATGAGGTGTTCTTCTTTTGGGGACCCTCACAGCCCTTTTACTATGGGTCTAGTCATTTCTATCCTTTTTGTTATAATAAAACTATAAGTATAACACTTTGCTGAATTCTCCAAGTTCTGGCAAATCATCAAACCCAAGGGAGTAATGGGAAAATGTGACTTTGTAGTCAGGTAGTCAGAAGGGAGAGAGCCTCTGGGGACCCTGGGGGTGAGAGGAAGCCTCGTATTTGCTTGCAGTAGGTCAAAAGTGAGGATGTCATGGGGATCCCTAAGCTTGCAGCTGTGTCTAAGGTCTTGGTTAGGTTTGGGACTGGAGTTGGACTCTGAAATAGCAGGCAGGTCCAAAATAGAACCCTGTACCCAATTGCCAAGTTCCCAAAGAATGATCCATCTTCAGATCTGAACTGGCAGAATCTGGTTCGCAAGGAATGCTGGAGATAATGTTGGCATAACACAGTGGTGAGCCACCAGACTTTGAAGTCTAACCCTTGAGACTGAATCTGGATGCTCCCTGTACTTGCTGAGCTTGGGCTCCCATGCTGAGTGCCTCCTAGTTCCCACAGCAAGAAGCAGCCCTCTGATATAGGTCTTTAGACAAGGTCCCCTGGCTGGTGACATCGTCCAAGCCCTAGAATGAGCTGCTGGGAAGGGCAAGGTTACTGGTGAGGTGGTAGGGAGCAAGGATTTGGATTGGCAGTTTTTCTGTCCCAGGAATCCTGAGACAGGTGCTATAGGATGACAGTGGTGCCCAGCAAGGATTATACAACAGGTCTTGACTGGGATTTCAACCTCCATCTCAGCCATTATCAAAGTATACACCCTACTGGGGACTGAGCCCCGCCTCTCCCCAACACCATAACAAAAATGCTCCCCAGCTCTTGCACACGTACAACCTTGTTCCCCCATTTGATGGATGAGGGTCCCACAGTTAGGAAATGATGGGGCTAGGAGTTGAACCCTAGTCTTTGGAGCACAAGCCTGCCAATTTAATAAGGACCCCCTTTCCTGCGCTGGGAAGATCTCTGGTGGCACATGGGTTAAGACTTCAGCCATTAACTGAAAAGTTGCTGGATTGGACTCACCAGTAGCTCTGTGGAAAAATACGTGGCAGACCGCTTCCCCAAAGATTTACAGTCTTGGAGACATATGGAACAGTTTTACTCCGTGCTACAAATTGGCTGATGGGAATGGGTTTAGTTTATTATAGATGTGTTCACAGATGCACATGTGTTTACGTGTGAGTGTGGGTTTGCATGCACATATGCGTGCATACACACACACACACACCACCCAGTAATCTTCACAAACTCAGGATTTTTGAGATCTGTGATGACTAGGCACATTTCCTATTTACACAGTGCTTTCTATTATTAAAAATGACCTCACATACTTCCATGATTGACTTAAAAGTTGCAGTGGCGAATGGGTACACAAACTTAAGAAATTTATTACTAGCATTTGATTACCATTTAACAAAAAAGATAAACTCCTGGAACAGAGACACGCTGTTCTCAAGTGCTCATGTCTTATCTTTTTTTTTCCTCCCCCTCACCTCGTCTTTCATCTCAGGAGTTGACTGAGGAACACCAAATCCCACCAAGGATTGAGGACAGAAAGGAGCTAGCCCGAGGTGGGGAAGGACTCACAGACGTATTCTGCAACTGCACAGCAAGGAGTCTCAGATGTAGACACGATGGCTCTTTTCATGATGCTCCACTTGCAGTCACTGGGCTGGGAGAGCCTGAAGCTGTAATTCTCAGTGAGTAGAACCGATTTCACAATACTTTTCATGTTGGCACCAAAAACCTGTCATAGACCCAGGCAGTCTCCTCAAATCAACTATGACTGTTCGAGGCCTCTTCTGGGGTTGAGGGTGTACGTTAGGGGTCACTGACAGCAGATTTGCACATGGCTCCAATTTTGGAAGAACTTCTCCCTAACATCTGGCAAGCAGAGGTCTAACCCCAAACTTGTCCAGTGTACATACAACCTGTGTGCAGGCCTGCTCCCTAAGGCACACTGTTCTTAAAGCACCACGTGCTCCAGGCTCAGGGCTGTTAGAAGTAAGACCCCCTCCTGCGCAACCAGGAATCCTCCCTTGTCAATCACTATCTAGCAAGAGCCTGAGCTTGGCCTGCGCTGGGTGGGCTCTGGGAAGAAGATTCAGGCTCATTCTCTGCCCTAAGGATCTGCGACCTTCGCATTCTCATCATACACAAGCTACACGGGGGGACCCCAGAACTGAGTTGGGTGACGAAGCCAAAATGGAGAGAAGTCCAGCCTCCCCAGCTGACCCATGGCAGGGACCTCAAAAAGAGGGCTGGCTGCTGTGTGTCTGCGAGAGGAACCCCGAGAGGCTGGCAATGGAAGGCAGACTCCATTGCATCTTTCACTTGTCGGCCCCTAAGTTTCCAACGCCAGTCATGCTCAGCTCCTTGGGAGACACGAGCCCATCTACAGGCCAGCTTCCTGGGGCCCTGGGTGCCAGATGGGAGTGAGGCAGGCACAGGGGGTGCTGGCTGAGGGAAAGGAACCTTTCCCCACTTTCTTTTGGAAAGAAGAGAGAGACACATTGCACCCCATCTCTCTCCACCACGCTCAGGGAAGAACCTGGGGCTGATTGTGAGTCTCAGCTTTATTTCTCTCCACGTCTACCAAGCACTAAAAATAGCTCCTCCTGGCCTCTTGGCACCTAAATCAGAAAAGCAGGGATTTGCAGATGCTAAGGACCATTGCAGGCGGAGGGGGCCGAGGACAGCAGCCCCCACCCACCAAGCCCCCCACACCTCCTACCTGTACTTCATGCCAGGCTGTTTCCCTCCGGCGTCGCCGGGGCCTGGCACGCTCTGCACCGACAGCTGCCCCAAGCTCCGGGCTACCATGGCCACCGCGCGGAAGCGGCCACGGGTGCCCAGGCTGGGGCTGCTGACCGTCGGCCGGCCCAGCCGCTCGTCGGCGCCACGGGCCTTGAGGCTGTGCTCGGAGCACATGAAGGAGACCTGCATGCTGCAGGCTGGCAGGGAGTCCTCCTGTCCAGAAGTCACTGCTCCCTGCCCACAGGAGATTCTGCAAGGCCACCCCTTGGGAAGAAGAGCCGGGGTGCGCTCCGAGCGAGGAGTCAGAACGCCAGAGGTCAGCTAGAAGAGACCTTCTCCAAGGTCTGGGTCTTGAGCGGGGAGCCCCATTTCCTCCGGCCCTCACATCTTCTGGGTTCTAGGGCTCCTTCCGCTGACCCCACCCTGGTCTGGTCGAGTTGCCTAGTCTCTGGCCCCGGCTGGCCGGTGTTGAGCTGTGCAGCCCTCCAGAGCAGCAGGGTGGCTCCTGGTTCTCTCCCAACGATGTGTCTGGGGTGCTCACTGAGCCCTGAGAGGTGGCAGGGCCCCTGGGGGTGGCCCCTGGGCTCAGGCGTCCTGGGCGGAGGTGGTTCCTGGGAGCAGGTCCCTGGGGGGCTGTCTGGGAGGCTGAGCGCTGCTTGCCTGCTCTCCTGGGTTCTGGGGGACGCTGGCTGGAGCGGCTGCTTCCCTGAGTCTTTCTAGAGGGCACCTGCTGAGGCCCCCACCAAGTCAATTAGGCGGCCAGTGAGAGGTGCAGGGAGCGCCTGGCGATTCATTATTAATGAAGCGGGAGGCACCGGCGGCCTGCCGGGCGGTCACTGGCTGCTGCTCAGCACTGACAGCCGCTTGGCCAGGGGGGCTGGGGAGGACGCCTGGGCAGGCGCTGCAGCAGGGTGGGCGGGGGACGGGGCAGCAGGGCGGGCAGCTGGCTGGCTGAGCATGTGGGTGGTCAGCTCGGGCCTGAGCTCCCCGGGTGAGTGTGCTTAGCTCTGCCTACGAAAGGGGCTTCAGTGGGGGCAGAAACTAGAGGGTGAAAGACCACCGAATACAGTGCTTGGTGCACGGTCGACACTTAGAGCACCTCTGGAATGAAGGAATGGATAACGGTACCAACGCATGAGAGAGCGCGTGAACGAAGCCCGGACACACACACACACACACACACACACACACACACACACACACTCTCTCTCTCTCTCTCTCTCTCTCTCTCTCTCTCTCCTCTCTCCTCTCTCCTCTCTCTCCTCTCTCCTCTCTTCTCTCTCTCCTTTCCCACGTGGCTGCAGGATCCAGCTGGGATCCAGGAGGGCTGGCTTTGCCCTCTGAGCTCATCCTTCACAGAGTGGGTGTTGGCCAAAGCTGCTTTTCAGGTCCCCTTTGCTAAGCTAAGAAGCTCTGGTGGCATAGTCTGTGGGGATTTGCGCGGCTAATCCAAAGATAGCATTTCTCTGGAGGTTCAAATCCACCAGTGGTTCTGTGGGAGAAATACGGGCAATTTCCTGCCATGCAATTTCCAGCTTCCAAAAACCTGCTGGCGGGTCAGCTAGGAGTCAGTTCCAACTTGACAGCCATGAGCTTTTTAGGTTTTTTGTTTGTTCTCTCTCGCCCCCCCTCCCCCCCATCCTCTACCTCTGCTGGAAGGGGCTGAGACAGAACACTGGACAGGGCAGCTGGGGCCCAGGGTCTAGCTCCAGCTAACCTGCTGTCTGATCACAGGCAGGTGTCTAATTATCTCTGAGCTACCTTGGCCCTTTCAGGTCCTGTTAGGCCCTTCTATGATCTTTTAGGCTGTGCTCTGCTTTGCCAGGACCCGAGAAAAGCCCACTCAGAGATGTTCAGGACAGCTGATGGTGTTCCTAACTTCCTCCTCCTCTGCCCTGTTTTACAGATTAAGAACAAACCTGGCTCCACTCCCAGCCTTTCTGCTTATGGGATGAGCAGCCGCAGGCAACTTCTTCCTCTCTGAGCCTCAGTGTCCTCAAGTGAAAGATGCAGATCACAAAGATGCCCCTTCAATTACCTCATGGAGACTGGAGGATGCCCTTAGCCCCAGAGCAGGGCATGTCCATAGAGAAGCTCACAGTGGTATGTTGTTGTTGTTGTTATGTGCTGTCAAGTCGCTTGCGACTCATAGCAACCCTATGTACAACAGCCCTAAACTCTGCTCTGTCCTGTGCCAATCGCACCGTCTCTGATACTCCCATCCCGATTACCCCAATCACTGAATCAATCCACCTCATAGAGGGCCTTCCCCTCCTGCATTGTCCCTCCACCCTCCCAAGCATGATGTCCCTCTCCAAGGACCAATCTTTCCTTACAACATGTCCAAAGTATGTTAGACGGAGCCTCAGAATCCTTGCCTCTAAGGAGCCACCCGGTTTAACCCTTTCCAGGATGAATCTGTTTCTTTTCCTAGCAGTTCATGGTACCCTCAATACTCTTCTCCAGCACCAAAGCTCAAAGGCATCAATTCTCCTTCTATCCCCCTTGGTCACTGTCCAACTCTCTGATGCATAACAAGTGATTGCAAAGACCATGGCCTGTATCAGATGCATCTTAGTCTCCAGAGAGACACCATTGCTCTTCAGTACTTTGGAGAGGTCCCTAACAGCAGACTTTCCCATGGCAATGCGCCTTTTAATTTCCTGGCTACTGGTGCCAAGAGTGTTGACTGTGGAGCCAAGCAAACTAAAGCTGTGAACAATATCAATCTCTTCACCATCCATCCTGATGCTACCAATTGGTCCAGTGGTGAGAATCTTTGACTTCTTGACATTGAGCCTCAATCCATATTGGAGGCTGCAATCCTTGACCCTCTGCAACAAGCACTTCAAGTCCTCCTCAGTTTCAGCAAACAGGGTTGTGTCATCTGCATAACACAGACTGTTGATAGATCGTCCATCTTGACCCCACATTTCTCTTTATAGAGCCCAGCCTCCCGGATAATCTGTTCTGCATACAGGTTGAAAAGGTATGGTGATAGGACATATCCCTGGCATATACCCTTCCCAATTTTGAACATGCAGTGTTCCCTTGCTCTGTTCTGACGACTGCCTCCTGGTCCAAGTATAGGTTTCACATTAGAACGATCAAGTGTTCTGGGATTCCCATTCTTCTCAGAGTCTGGTATAGACCAACATAAATGTAAAATATGAGTCTGCAACGTGAAGGAATAGCTTTCTGGTGGGACAATTCTTGGCATCAGGCTCAAGTATGAGACACTCCCCATTGACTGTCCTGGTCCCTATGGGTCAAAAGGAACGCTTGTTTCTCCTGTGAGCTTGTCCTGGCATGGTGGCACAAGTCTAGTGCTGAGGGTGGTACGCATGTCCTGGGACAGAGGGTCTGGGAGGATGAGGCTGCTCCTTTGCCCAAGATACCTGGGCAGATCATTGATGTCCCTTTAGATGCCACTGAGCCTCTGAAAACACCCTGGACCCTGCTTTGTCTTTCCTTCTGTCACCTGTCTACCTGGGCTGCATAGTCCTGGCAGGGAGAAGTAGACAGGCTTGAAAGCCAGGCTGGACAGCCAGTAAGGCTGGCTTTAATCCTTAGGCTGGGCAGATACTCTCCAGGGCGGACTTTGGCCTTTAGGGCTCAGGGGTCAAAGAGGCAACAGGAGGCAAGACTCTGCCTTTAGCCCTGTGCACGGTGAGTTTCTGCCCCCACTCACTGTCTCCTATTTCTGGGGGCTCTTCACACAGAAACAGGGCAAAGTCTAGCACGTCAGCCTTCTCTAAATATGCCAAACCCATGGCTGGCGAGTTGGTTCTGACTCACAGTGACTGGCCTTCAGGTTTCTGAAGCTGTAAATCTTTCCAGGTGGAGACTGCCCATCTTCCTTGGTCCAAATCTCTAGTAGGTTCTGACTTTTTGGTTCTGTTGTTGTTGTTGTTGTTGTTGATTGAGCATGACTCATAATGACTCTATAAACAAAAGACCTAATGCCTTTCCATAACTATCATCATTTCTCCAAGTTCATAGTTTCCAGAAGTACGTGGTTTAGGAAGTGGTTGCCACTCCTGCTTCCAAACCTGTTTTACAACTGGGAGCTCCACCAAACACTGTCCACACTGGGAAAACCATTATGGTATTTGACACCCCAGTGGCACAAGGTTCAGCATCACAGCACATTGACAAAGAGTGATGTACAAAGTGGAAGAATGTTCCACCAGATATAACAACCCTAGTCTCATGTAGCAGTGGTTAAGTGTCGTCAAGTCAAATAAGACTCATAGCGACCCTTGCACAAAAGACCTGAACTCTGTTCTATAACTAACATCACTTCTGTACGTTTACAGAGTTAATAGAGTTTCCAGAAGCTTCTGTTTTAGGAAGTGGATGCCACTCCTGCTTCCCAACCTGAATCAATCTGGAAGCTCCTCCAAAGTCACCATTATGGTATTTGACACAACTGAGGCACAGTGTTCAGTGTCACAGCAACTCCACGTTATTCAGTACAGGAAATAGACAAATGATTGCTGTATCACTTAAAGAATATTCATTCTAAAATTAATAAACTTTAATTAATTAAAATGAAGATGAATTAAAATGAAAATTGGGCCCTATGGGATTTTAAAGACAGACCCTTAATCAGGCTTCCACTCTTGGTCAAAACTTCAACTGACACCTGCTTTTGGAGGAAATAAAAAACCAGTAACATACATCAAACATGACCCCAAAAACTTCGCTTATGTGACCATCATCAGGATGTGACCGCCATGGGGACGTGCCCGCCATGGGGACGTGACCTCCATGAAGACGCTCGGAGCCAAAACCTAGAGTGGAGGCTCTCGGCCAGCTCACAGACTCAAACCTCTCACTCCGGGATTTCAGAGCCCCTGATAGATGCCAAGTCAGGACCCAGATAGAACACACTCAACTACTACCAGCTGAGTCTTTCAGTATCTCCTCCTTTTCCTTTTGAGGAAAAGAAACAAATACTATGAACCCGAGGCGAAATGCCAGTGGGGTTTGTCATGATGCAGAGTCTTGGGCCCAACCCAAGACCCAGTGAATGAGTGGCTCTGTTCTACCAAGAGCTCGCAGGGATTCTGTACATTTTGGCCTCGTGGAGGCAAATGTCCCACGCTTCTTCCCCACATGCCTCTCTGTTCTGACAAAGCACTGATAGAGCAGGGCGGGTAGCCCAGGGGGTGCTCTGCCCAGAG